CAAGATTATACTGTATAGCACAGGGAAATATATACAAGATCTTGTGGTAGCTCACAGAGAAAAAAAATGACAATAAATATACATATGTTCATGTATAACTGAAAAATTGTTCTCTACACTGGAATTTGACACAACCTTGTAAAATGACTATAACTAAATAAAAAAAAGTTAAAAAATGAAAATGAAAAAGAAACCCCTTTGAGTGTCAGCAGTTTCCTTCTGAGCCTTTAGACTTACCTGTAATCCTTCAGTGCTCTGCTTTCAGCATGAAGTTCTTCACGTTCCTTAGCGTAGTAGTAACCTCTCTAGCTGCACGTGTTGCAGTGTCCTCGTGTATTCCCTACACTCCATCCTCATAAATGGCTGATCCACTTCCACGAGTTCCCTCATCTCCCAAGTTCTGTACGCACTTGCCACCCCTACCCCCTGACTCTGTCTCAGTGCCCCTGACTGTCCTTCAGTGCATCACTTGTGTTTCCTGTTTCCTGGGAGCTGCCCTCAGTTCTTGCCTCTGCTCCAGGACTGAAGTGCCTGTGCTCTGTGCTCCTACAGCTCCTCCGTACATCCTAAGAGTATTGATACTGGGCTGTAGTTTTTTTGTCTTGTCTCCTGCTAGGTTGGAAAGACTGAAGAGCTATAATTACCATGCAGAAGAATTTTACTGGCATAGAATGTAAGAACAGCTATCATTATCCCCGTGAACAAAGGAGAAAGAAGATAAGATTCTGAGCAATTACATATTAGGAAATATATTCCCTTTTTCATTTTTCAGTTCCAAGGTGTAAAGCTTTGAAGGAAATGGATTTAATTAAAACTTTTGAGTCAAACTGTTACTGCTACAATCAAAATTCCCAAATGAAATGGAAGTATATATGGTCAACTGTGCAGGTAAGAAAGAGCCTATGTTTAAATTATGTCTTGAGAACAGAGAGTTAAGATGTACTATTTCAAGAGCAGAAAGCAGCTTTTGTTTGATAAGAGCTATGCATCAGTGTGGAGGCTGACCGGGCGATCACACACAGCGGTTCAGGGGGAGGGCTGGGTGGGAGGGACATTAACTCTCCACACACTTCATAAGCCCTTCTCCAACCTTTCCAAATAAATGCACTGAGTGCAGTATGCTTGCTGTTTAGACACAGCTCAAGACAACATGTTCTCGCCTGCTTTCCAAAATAATTGCTATCTCAAACCCTTCCATATAGAAATTCTGGTTACTTCTGATCCCAGGTATGGCCAAGATAGTAGTCATTCTCCATAGCCTAGCACTTTCCTTCATTCAACATTTAACAAATATTTATTGAACACCTACTAAGGGCCAGGAACTCTTCTAGGCTCTTAGGATACATCAGGGAACAAAGCAAATCCCTGCTCCTGTGATGTTTGTACTCTTGGGAATGAGGGCTAGAGTTAAGCCATAAATGTAAAAGAGAAGGAAATTATAAAACTAGTGAGTGCTATGAAAAAGGAGAATGTGAAGTAAGACAGGTGAATGAGGGGAGTAAGGGCAAGCTGCGGTGTTAAAGAGAGTGGTCAGGGCAGTTCTCATTGAAAAGGTGCCATTTGAGTAAGATTTCAGTG